AGATTGTTTTCCTGTACGGTAAGGACCCTAATGTGACAGCCATGATGAATAAAATAGACCTTGCTATTCTACCTGTCTTAAATGTTGACGGCTACGCCTACACCTGGACTAAAGTAAGATTTGTATTTCATCAAAATACTTTCGTAATTAGTCAGCACTAAGAGATCTTAATGCTGGGGATAACCCTGTAATGGACTAGCATCCCATCCAGGGGGGAGTTGAAATACTCCTATTCGCTTCATGCTACAGAAACCGCGGGATAAGCTCCGGTCTGATGGACCACTTGTCTCGTGTGCAGACTTCTTTTTTTTTTTACCTTTAGGCTATCTTGTGTCGTTTTCAGGCTAATCTGAACTCATACATTTATTAACGAGGCCTGACTAGCCTGTCTGTGACTTCATGGAATCAAAATTAAATAAAGCGCAAAATATTTGCGAATCGGGGAAACAACATCTTGTCAAATATCTTCACTTCATTTCCTGTGTTTACTCAATAAAAAAAAGTAGGCTTAGATAAAAGCCTGCTAGCTTGCGTAGCAACTATAGAAGTAATTATCGCAGGTAGTCCAGATGATCCTCTCTAAAATTGAGGAGATGAAGAAATTAAGAAGTAGAAAGGCAATGAAATAAAAAGTACCTAATCAATATGGATCTTTAGATAGCAGTAGGAGAACTAGATTGAGAATATAGGTATGACTTTCAAATTATCTTTTCAAATACGCTCCAATAAATTAAGCCTCACTTATCTCTGTTGCTGGATTCAGCTGAATGGAAGAGTATCAGGTCGACTTTTTTTCGATGGAAACCTGATAGTCGAAAGGATAACGACCATGTATGAAAACTCGTAATCGTAGACCGATCTAAACGCCCCTAATATTTTAACATTCTAGGACCGTTTGTGGCGAAAGAACAGAAGCCCCAACAAAGGATCTACGTGTTTTGGTACAGATTTGAATAGAAACTGGCAAGTTGGATGGGGAGGTAACTTAGATTAAACTCACTCTCCAAGAGAATCTAAGATCCAAGATCCGCCCTCGGTCATTTTCGACCAATAATATAACCTTCATTTCATTGCGTTTTCTTAGCTAATCTCTGATTAGCTAAGAAACTATCGTCTTTGAAACTTACATGCAGGTCTTTCTTATAGGTTTGCCGACAACTATTAAATAAAACCGTCATTAAATCAATGGTTTTATTTCACGGACTCAAACTGTGTTTAATAGATCAGTTACTAAGTTTTTTTTTTGTTAAAGCAGTAAGATCCCTCGCTCAACACCTCGTTCTTTATTCGCATAGATAAGCACAGTTGGAACTTTTTAATACGGCCACCAAATGGGCAAAGCTGAGTTTCTTTATTATGGACGTGTCTGAAGTAAAGGTTGGACTGTAGAAGTCGATTTTGATCGTATTAACATTGTTCTAATCTGCTTGATACTTGGCGGGTTTGTGAAACTGAAGACAAACCATGTTGAACACCCTTAGAAATTTAGTCTTACATTTCTTTTATAAGAGTTCGATTAATTGTTGGGCTAATGTGTATTTAGCTCCAGGAGCGTCTGATAAACCATGCAATGGCGTTTACCAGGGCTCATCAGTCATGTCTGAAAACGAGGTTCAGAACGTGGATCGTTTCTTGAAATCCGAGCAGAAAAGGCTTGTGGGATTTCTTGATGTGCATAACTACAGTCAAATGTGGATGATTCCTTGGGGATATGCCAAGGAAAATGTTAAAGACTATGACGAACTCGTGAGTAATTCTACTATACACTATCTATTATTTCTCATTTAACTCAGCTGAGTGTGGTAAAAGATAAAGGGCCCCATGAAAGGTCTGTTTCAGTTCTGTTGGTATTCGCAATGGACTGCAGATTGAGAAGTTTGCAGGGTCCGGACTACAAGGGATTCTTGTGTTGTGATTTTTGCTATGGTGTATATCATAGTTAGTTTGGTCCGTGACATCGGCCCGACAATTATATAGGGCAAGGAAGGAATACTTCAGCGACTGGACCTCTTTTGATGCGGCCGGTGCCTGTAAATTTGAATTGACCAATCAGCATTCAGCAGGCGCGAGAAATTATAGAGTGCTTACATGTTAACAGAAAGGCATTGAAACATATCGGACCAATTTACTCTCTGGAGACGGTACTGAACAGTGATTGAAAATGCCAGAGACCATAACAAATTATGACCAAATTCAAAATATGTAATATTTGTTCCTTTAAGCTTTAAATTGGTTGCCAAAACTCCATGGGTAACCCGCCAAGTGTCGCCGGCCAGGGAGGATGACAGTGGTGTTACACTGATTCCTCGTTAAATTAATCCCGGAATTCCCGAGAGGCTGAAACAATGAGCAACGCAATGAGTACTTGTATGTACTGCTTCCATGGTAGTATAGATACTATGCTATCGTGTACGAAGTGGTCTTAATGTTAATAAGAAGCAATAAATAGGTCCACAATCCATTTATGCCTTTGTATTACGAAGTTTTTTTTAGTGTTTTACAAAAGTGTTTCCCAAATATAAAAGCTCCAGAGACGCTAGTGCAACAAACTGAACTACTCCCTTGTAACTGCTTTATAGAACATGCACGATTTGCAGCGGTTTTCAATTTGCGGTTTTCAATTTTCAAAAGTAATCAGGCAATTACTTTGTTTTGGTTTTGTTTTATTACGGTTTAAGATTGGCTGAGGAGCCTAATTGTGTATTTGCATGAGTTGCAGATGAGGATTGGCAGTGCGTCAGTGAATGCTATCAAATCAATGGAATTTAACACAACCTACAAACTGGGTCCTTCATCGAGGTTGCTGTGTAAGTAGGCATTTGTAATGTCGCACGTTGAGAGACAGCAAATAAGCTGCAAAAGACGATGATCATCGATCGTCTCTTGCCCGCTCCTATCCCATCGAAATAGTCGATGCACAAGGGAGTGATTACCCTCAGTTCAGCCTCTCAGTAGCGAGAATTCTGACCCGAACTTGAGGTAACCCTAACCCCGGCTGCTAACCCTAAGTTGTTTTTTTTTAATACCCATGTAATCTGTTATTTCTTGCTATTCCCTGCCTATACTAATAGTGTTTATTGATTAAGAAACTTAAAAAAAAGGTTTTGCACAAATGAACATCGATTGAAAGTTTGCCCTGCCTTGCTTCTCTTGAGGAGATTTTGACTTATGAGGGGAATCGGCGTAAGGAATGACAAAGAGTAAGAGCCATTCTTCTTCGTAACTATCGCTAGCTTGTTTTAATCCGGGGCAGCGCCATAACTCTGAAATTCAAAATGCGCAGGTTTCCAAAGGAAACACACCATTGAGCTATAAAATTGTACACAGATATAAATTTACCCCCTCTTATGCCTGATGAGGATAAAAATTGTGGTGGCTCTTTAGTTTTGGATTTTAGAAAATGATGACATTATTACGTGAAAACGATCTATACACGTAGTTTGGTTTTGTTTTGGTAAAAGCGATGACAGATAAGAATCCAAAATTGAAGGTGACCACTGATTATAACATTCAAACACACGTCTGTTATGATTGTTTGACGCGTGATTCCATGTTCACGAAGCAATTAACCTGAAGTGAAGAGCGCGTGATTTCTTTAAAAAGAATATAGTATTTTTGTGACAAGTCTCAGGAAAACAGTGATACGTAGTCTTTATCATGTGCAGCAGGCATGTTTGCGTAATGGAATAAATTGACGTTTCAACTAAGTTTCGCGCAAAAATTTGACGAACTTTCCCTAAGCGGCCAACCCCTATTAAGCGGCCACTTCCCATTTCCCAGAGGGTGACTGCTTAATAGGGGTTCGACTGTATAAATAACACCGGAAACAAAACAGTAGCCACACTTCTCCTTTGGCCCAGTTTGATCGGAAAATGTTGTCTCATTTTACAGCAGGTAGTCAAACTGGTCAATCTGACAAAACGGAAAGAATTCCTGCTATACAGAGGAAAGAACCTAGTACACATTGAAAAATTCTCTCATAGTTATATTATGAACATCTTAACCCAAAATGTAGTTTAGCGCGAACAGTGAAAAAATAAATACGTAACAGTCAAATCACCTGATACTACTATTTCATCTTCCTTATTTCAGATTTATGTTTTGGGACCTTCCAGGATTATGTGTACGGCTCATTGGGAGTAAAATATGCGTTTGCAGTAGAGCTACGTGACAATGGACATTATGGATTCCTTCTTCCAGCATCTCTTATAGAGCCCACGGCAAAGGAATTGTTTGAGGGACTAAAAACCATGGTGTGGGAAATGAAGCTAAATTCCTGACACCAAACCACTGGGTGCGCGGTACAGTGTTAGAAATACTGAATCCTATGAGAAAACTTTTTTTGTCAAGAGATTTCCTATCCTGGGGACATCTCCTAAGATATCACTCTTGAATGGAAACACCTCCCCCCTCCCCCCACTCCACCCCCCTCAAGCAAGAAATATCTATTTCAAAGACTCTATCGGCCGGATGGTCTTTAGACACAAAACAATATGCAACTATATATATATATATTTTGCAGTTAGGAGCTAATTCCAATAATCTTTATGCTCGGCTTAGAATAAACTTTTTTTGAATCATTCAAATACAGTTTTTGAACTGTATTTTTAGCCCATTTCAGGACGCTTTGTTTGCTCTATAAATCGTAATTTGTCGCACAGTTTTAAAACATATGCATGTCGTAGATTTATCATGAGCTTGTGGCAAGTCACAAAGTTGTACCATCACAAATATTTGGAATGGTAGTTTAATCTGTAGCAACGTGGTACACGTTCTGCGCCTCAATTTTCATGTCCCAAAATCTCATTATTTTCAATGCAAAGGCAGATCCACATTTGGAATAGAATCATTGAAATAATTTTCTCAAACTCATCAATAATTCATCAAGTTAAATAAAGAAAATCATGACCGTGACGGTGTTTGGATATCTGATCTTAATTAGCATAGATTTTTACGATTTTGTTTCTTTGTTTTCTCCTTAGTTTTTAGTTTCGGTTGAGAAGATATATCAAACACTCCAGACCGTGTTTGATAACATTTCCAAACACCTCGAAGTTGGTCAAAAATATTCCGCTACGCGTCTTATTTTCAACTCTCTTCTCGGTGTTTGGAAATGTGTTCAAATACGATCTTTCATGTTTGATGTAACATATCTAATAATACACATGAAAAAATTACTCGATTCTGATTGGCTAAGAGCAGTGCAGTTCAAGTGTAACACAGTGCAAAAAGTGTAACACCAGTGCAAATTACACATCAAAATTCTGGATTATGATTGACTGAAAGATAATAGGAATTTTTCTAAGAAAATGATATCAGGTAAAATGATGACGAAAATTTTGTGTTGAAACTTTGAAAAAAGTTTTCTCAAATGAGAAAAAAATGGCCCCAAGAAAGATCTTCCGGCACTTCCTCCGCGGGGATTTTTGTCATGTTTATATTATTAACAAGTAATCATACGGTTTTTCTCGTTCAATTTGGAGTTAATTTGCACTTCTGAGTTTTTCAAAAAGCTGAAATTACACTCGCCGAAGCGGCTCGTGCAATTTCAGCTTTTTGAAAAACTCACTCGTGCAAATTAATTCCAAATTGAAC